AAAATAAAATCAAAATGGAATGACAAATATCACTATATTAAAACGATTTTTCTGGGGCTGGGGTTGTGGCTCAGCGGTAGAGCACTCACCTAGCACGTGCAAGGCCCTGGGTTCAATCCTCAGCACCACATAAAAATAAATTAATTAATGATATCGTATCCAACTACAACTAGAAAAATAAATATTAAAAAAAATACTTGGAAAAACCACAGAATTTTCCTTACAATAAAAGACACCAAGGACAAAAGGCAGCAACAATCTAGAATATAAAGTTGCAATTTCCATCATCAAAGATTAGTAGAAAATATATAAAGAACTCTACAAGTCAAAAAGAAAAAGTAATCCATCAGCATAATGAGCAAAAGTAACCAGCAGGTCATTTATAGAAAAAAACACAATGACTGAGAAATATATGAAAAGATGCTCAACTTCCATGAAGTTGAAATGAAATGAAAGCAATGTATGACTTCGTACCTGTATAATGAGCATAAATTTAAAATTCTAACAATACCTAGAATTAGTGAAGATTTGTAACAATAGGAACTTCACTTCCATTGCTGCTGGAAGTAAAACCTCAGACATACATTTGAAAGGGTAATTCTGCGTTATCATTATTTTTCAACTTTTCATTCCTTATACTAAGGAATTCTTCAATCACATCCTTAGAGATATCTCTCACTCATGAACACAAGAAAATGTGGATAAGAACTTTTTAAGAACTTTCAAATACAATGTTGTTTGTAATATAAAAAAACTGAAAACAATTATGTCCAACAATAGGTAACTGGATAAAAATATGACACATTCACACAATGGAACATCTCATAACCATTAAAATTAATCAACTAGAACTATAAACATCTATGTGAATAACTCATAAAAAATGCTAAATGATAACAGAATAAAAAGGGTGTTTTTAAGAAGTTTGAAAACAGGCAAAACAATATGTAGTATATTTATATGTGTGGTGTACATATTTGTAAAATAGAATTCCTCCTAATTGGAGAATATTTAACAGAGAAACAAGAAAAAAAATGGGACCAGAGAGCTGCTAAAAATACTAAAGTACTTCTTGAACATTCTATTAAAAGAATCCAATACATCAAAATATTAGGAGCTTACACAGTTAGCTGATAAAAGTGGAAGTTTGTTATTTCTTATATTTTATGCTCAAAATTTCATATTTTTAAAAACTTCAAAATACATTAATTACAATTTGTAACCACTGAAAGTAATGTTTTTTGGTACCATGAAAGCAAAATATAGAAAAAATTGTGTCAAAGGTACCTTTTCATCCATAACTAGAATTTTAACATTTTACAAAGATTATAACAGCCATATTGCATTTAAGGATTGACTTAAGTTATAAATTTGAATATATAAAAGTATGTTATTGAAATGCTATCACTATTTACTTTTATGTTGGGGTTTCTTATAAAATTTTATGGGAAAAAAAGATTGCATGACTGAAAACCCCAAGCTACTTCACTGTTCAAGTTCTTTCACAACAAAAGCCAAAAATATAACAATACACTTTTTCCAACTTTCACTTGGAAAAGTATCCTCTTAACATAAAAGTTTACACTTTGAACTGCTGTCTCAGAAGAGGTTTTGTAGAGAGAGAATTGCATTCAACTTGTGGGACACAGGTGAATATATATTTAAGAAAGGAAATAACAAGGTTGTTGAAAAGTGAAAACAAATAGAAAGGAATTATAAATAGCAGAGGCAGGAACTAGCCAAAAAAAAAAAAAAATCGTCTAGCTTGAGAAAAAAGAAAAAAAGATATGCAAACAAAGACTGGAGTTAGTGTGCAGAACAGAGAAAGAAGTCATAACTCAGGAACCACTGTAGTAAGACTGGAAAAATTAGTACAGAATACAAGGAAATGACATCTTTAATATAATCACCATAATCTTCCTATTGTGGTTTTGCTCCTCATGTGCTTTTAGTTTTTTTGTTTTGTTTTGTTGAGTAGGATTTTGATATGTTGCACAGGCTGGGCTAGAACTTGAGATCCTCCCACCTCAACTTCCCCAGCTGAGATTACAGGCATGTTACCATGCCCAGCCTACCCCTTATGTTTTACTTTTTCCTTGAAAAGTCCTTTGGTAGATAATTATTACTATATAGGAGGTGGTTTCTTCCTGATATAAGAGGTAGTCACTTCCTGCTAATAGAAGAACTGTCAGGAAAGAATGGAGGAAGTAGATAGTGTTAACCTTTATAGAGGCAGTGTCTACCTTATTAAAACAATAAAGGGAAGATGTAAAGCATTTCTTATATTCCTCCTATCTTTCTTGTACTATATTTATCACTTTACATAATAATTATCTACTTAAAGGATGTGTCCTATGTTAAACTGAGAATTCCTTGAGATAATTATTGAGGGCAGGTACTCATAGTATATTCATTTCTTTGTGGCTCCAGACCTTTACAATGTCTGGCACACATAGTGATTCAATGCATGTTTGCCAAATGAAAAGTGAACCAATGTATGACCAAAAAAGGAAAAAAACCACAAATAATAAAATGGAGAACAGATGATAAAGACAATGACACTATAAAGGAACATTCCTATAGAAATTTCGAGTTTAACAATGCTCTGTATTACTTAACTAAAATTCAAAGGGGCTTTTAAGATTTGGAAAATGCAATAAATAAATTTTTTTCAATGACATAAGTTTAAGGCCAATTTGAGATCCTTACTATTCCATCCTACTTTTTCTGATTTCATTGACTTGAATAAAAGTTACAGGTCAGCCTCATCAAACTCTTTCATCCTTAACTTGCCTTTTAGATACTGAATTCTGTTATATCTGAGATGATCAACACTTGGAACTTTGGTTGATGGCACTGCCCATGAAATAATCAATACAAATTCACCAATGCCTCTTTTACTGCATCAACAGTGATCTGTTAAAGTATATATGAACCTCAGGTGTCAATGAAGGAAGGTTTAGAAAAGAGAAACTCTCAGAGCAATTCAACCTACTTTTATAAGTGTTCAATTAGAAAACAATGGGTTTCTAGGAAAAACTACTATTAAAAGAAAGTTGTCTTTTTAAAAATTATTATTACAGCATTATAGTTATACTGTAATGCAGTTTGGTTCATTTTTGACAAAATCATACATGCATGGAGCTTGAATCAATCTCCATCCTCTCACTTTACAGCTCCTTTAGAACACCTACTCCATTAATATCCCTGTATATTTTTTATATCCAATGCCTCCCTCCCCCCATCATTTTGCTCTAGCTTACACGAGAAAACTATTAGACACTTGATTTTCTGAGTCTACTGGTTTATTGCCCTTAGCATGATGTTCTCCATTTCCATCCATTTACAGCAACTGCCTTAATTTCATTCCCTTGAAGAAAGTTTACAGTTATCAAATTTTAAAATACTTTGCCTTAACTAGGCACAGTGGCTATGCCTGTAATCCCAGATGCTAGGGAGGCTGAGTCAGGAGTCCTGATCAGGGTTTAAAGCTAGCCTCAACAAAAGCCTGGAGCTAAGCAACTCAGTGAGATCCTATCTCTAAATAAAATATAAAATAGGGCTGAGAATGTGGCTCAGTGGTTGAGTGCCCCTGGATTCAATCCCAAGTATGGAGGGAAAAAAAAAACTTTGCCTTATTCTATCTTGCCTCTTTTATTTCATTTCATTAGAAAAAAATGAAAGTCCTCACAATAACAATAAAAAATAACAGTCTCACAAATGTAGTACAATTGAAATAAATAATTTAGTGTTCCAAAAGCAGAAACTGAACCCCAGAATGAAGCTTCCTAGATTTATGACAGTCACTTGTGTTCATCTACCAATTTAAAAATTGAATGAAATAATAGAAATACATATTTGAAGACTGATAAAGGATAAATACATAATTATAAATATTTACCTTCATATTACTTGATTCTTTTGAACATAGTTGGGGATTACATAACATGCCAAAATGGGGCACCTTGTACAGACTTCACAACTAAGAAATTCTTACTACAAAACAGATGGCTCACTGCTAAGATGTACAGTATTTTGTGTCTCTCAGGCAATTTTAAGTCAATTTTTTTTATTCTAAAGCCTACAAATCTACCTAGAATTCTGTTAATTACTGCTACAAAAATGTTTTCTTAGCCAGTTTGTATTTAATGTTACTCTAATGCCCCCAAATAAGTTCTTACATCGCACCCTCCTTTTTCTCATTCTAGGTTCGCTGAAAGACCAGTTCTATTAGACCAGATAATATTTAATCCTACCTAAAATTATTTGTTGGGAGCTGTTTTCAGATTCTACAGTTTTATTTTTCATACTCTAAAACAGAACATCCCGTAGCACCTTCACAATCGCAAATCCTGAAGCTGCATTAGCAGGGCTTGGATGCATACATAAACAACATGAAGTTCCAATTCAGAGGGGGTAAGTTCACGTCTCCAGTTCTGGGAGGCCCGAACAGGGTCTACCCACTGCGGCAGCGCGTTTGGGGCAGCTCTGGAAGAAGCAGGAAGTTTGTATCAACTTCCCAATTACTTGGTCTCCAGTGAAATGCAGGACCTTCTCCATTTCTGCAATGGACGGAGAACGGACCTTTCAGAGTCCCCAACTTCAGGCAGGAGGTACTCCCCAAGCCACTAGTCACGCGCCCAGGTTACCCCCAGAGAAACCCCGACGTTGAGGCGGCGGCACCGCCCCTTCCCTCTCGCCGCTTAGTTAGCTTTCCAATCTCCAGAGTCACCGCCGCCCACTTTCTAGCTAGACAAACACCAGCACAGGGCAGGCACAGCACTTACCCACGTCTTGCTCAAAGGGATTGGCCGCGAACAAAGGCATCCTGTCAGCGCCCGAGCCCGGTTCTCTGAGATCCAGCTAAGGCCGGGCAGTTGCTCCCTGCTGGGTGACCCACCGCAGCTTCCTAGACCGCTAGACTCAACTCTGGCCGTCTTGCCCACACTTCCGCCACCGCACCTGCCCGGTTCCTGCCTGACAGGCCAGCTCCAAGTCCGCGCTCCGCCCCCGCGCTCCGCCCCCAACTCTCCTCTCGAGACGAGATCCAGAAGGCCTCGAACATCTTCGCAGCGCACCTGTTGCTGCCATCCTTCAGGAAGAAGTGGCAGCCCCTGACCCAGATCCTTTCAAAGGTCAGGCAGCCGCCGCAGCCACCTTTTCTTCGCTAGGACCCCGGAGAGCCACGGAGCCGGGGACCTTCAGGCCGGAAGTTGTCTCCCCAAGAATTGGAAGATGCCGGAGACCCGGAAGCTGCAGTGTTGGCGGAGGCGCAGCTGGGGGCGTTGTCGCCTTGGACTTTTCGCGCGAAGCAAAGTGGCTCTGAGAGCTACTTTCTTTTCACAAATAAATTTAATTTATTCCTGGGCTGCGGGTTCAGTCCCTGGCAGCCGTGGGTCCTGGACCACGTTCCCGTCACAGTTCAGTTGCCCTGGAAACGGAGCCCCCGGCACAGATGTGGTTTTGAGCGTTTGCTAAGTGCCTGGCTCTGCTCTTGTGCACTTTTACAGAGCCCAGACCAAACCCCGCCGGAATAAGCACCTGGAAAAGTGGTGGAAGCGACTACAGCTTTGTGGAGACTTGCAACTTCTCGCTTCCCATTGTGGCCTTCATTAAAACTACGCTTGGTTCTAGGAATCCTAAGACCGAAGAGGCACAATCTCTCCCTTGGACTTGGAAGAGTTTATAGAGGCAGTGCATAACATGTATGATGATTCGGGCATTAGTAAGAGTCACAAGCCCAGATTCCCACAGGATATAGCCAGGTATTTACATGAACGAAAAAAGTGCAAGCACCCTTCCGGGCTCACAGATGCCTTATCCTTAACTGCCTGTTCCCCTCCCCCCCCCATAGTATTTATCATTTTATAATATATAATAGATTGTTATCTGACTCTCTTCATCTGAATATAAAATTCCATGACGAGTTTTGTTCATTGCTGCATTCCCAGAGGTTTAAACTGTGAGAAATAACTCAGATGCTCAATAACTTTTTGAAAGAAGTCCTTGACTTTCTAACTGAACAGCTACTACCAAATTTAAGCCATTTGTTGAGGTGTGGGCCTACTAGAGCCTCCAATTTTTCATTGATTTTTAAATTTTGAAAATTACTTCAACTTTTTTTTTTTTAAGCGATTCTAGGGATTGAATCTAGGGCCTTATGCATGCAAGGCAAGCGCTCTACCAACTGAGCTGTATCCCCAGCCCAAATTACTTCAACTTTTAAATCAACGAGTTAAAACCACTTTATAGGACTGGAGAGGTAGCTTAGTGGTAGAACACTTGCCTAGCTGTGTTAAATCCCCAGCAAAATACACACACACACACACCAAAAAAAAAAAAAAAAAAAACTACCTATAATATATATTGAAGAGTTGTCATTATAGAAGACAAAACCATTACACGGAATAATTCATAAAACAGGGGTACATTCTTACTACAAAGTTAGGTGCATAAATGAGAAAGATTTCCAGGTGAAGTGGCTGATTTTCCAAAATCATTGAACCTAGGATGTTCAAGATGTATTTGGAGACTTTCTAGATGAATTTATCTAGGTTTAAGGCTCCAAGTTGAAATGGAAAACAAGGCTAGTTAGAGAAAACAGCAGGCAGATTGAAAGCCTAAAAGATCAAACTAGAAAATTTTATTTTTACCACATAAATCATTAGATAATTATTTAACGATATTTATCAGCAGAATAGTATAAGTGATTTCAGACTAATCTAATATCATTACGCATGATACATTGTGAATAAGAAGATGCAAACAGTTTAGAAAGCTATTGCAGCACTTAAAAGACATAAGAAAGGATATTTCAGAGGAGCTTGTTTTAAGAGCCGAGAATGGAGGGTTAGCCTTTGGACAGCATTGGTATTTTACAGTTTCTTAGATCTTCCTTTTTAATAGTGAGCATACTCAAGTACCTGTATTTACATTTCTGTGTATATACTCAGTGCTTTGGTGAGTTCTTTCGATATCTAAGTTTTAAATAGTCACTAGGAGCAACCCAGAATTAAAAACAAGATTGTTACTTCACCTAATGAAGTAATTGGGCAATTAAAAGATATGTCAGCAGCAGCCCACAAATTATGGTATGCAAAGAAATATAACTCTTGTTTTTCTTAATACAAGTTCTTTTCCCATCTCCCTGATGACAAAAAATAATCTTACTAATTTCCATTGAATTCTGTCTCTTTAGGATTTCTTACTCATTTGGGTTTATGCTCAACAAAACTGTATCTTTACATCAGGCCACTTTTCCCAAACAAGCTCCAAGATCCATCTCCAGATATAGTCTTCTCATTCTGCCAGTACACATTTGGTGTATGACCCTTTTTTTTTCCAAAACATGGACAGTGCTTCCTCCAGAAAGGCATGATAAAACCTGAGAAATACTACAGAGGGTTGTAGCAAATCTTTAGAAGAAGAAGCCTCATGAGGGAGAGAGAGACCTTCCACAAGTGAAATTTCTGCATGGTATTCAGGCAAAGCAAGACTACTGTCTTCTAGCTAAGGGGAGTAGATCACTTTTTTTGGTCCAGAGCATAGCATAAAGATTAATCTTTCAGTACAAAGTTCTCAAATGTATCTGTCCAGATATCCCCAACTTTAATTTTAAGGTCTCATTTCTTTCCTATCAGAGCCTGACTTTAGTATAGGAGATATACTGTGGGTCATGAATTCAACCTTTTGAAATTATTTTCATTATTTTAACTGACTAATTTAAATCTTTTAAGTTCTGTTGTTCTCACAATCAGGTCCCTTTGATGATTTTCCTTTGTATCCTTTTATTATAATTTATAGCCATGAATACAATTATATGCTGAATTCTGTAATAAATCACTAAATCTAAGCAAGTGGGCTTAGGAATCCTTGACCACTCTGGATTGAATTATGGGAAAAAAAGAGGACATTAACATAAATGCTAATAAAATCCACTAATAGTATGAACCAATGTTGGTATCTTAGTTTTGGGAAATGTATCATGTGGAAAATGTATCAGAACTTTGCATTATATTTACAAGTGTTCTGCCACTAAGCTACCTCTCCAGTCCTATAAAGTGATTTTAACTTGTTGATTTAAAAGTTGAAGTAATTTGGGCTGGGTATATAGCCTTAGTTGGTAGAGTGCTTGCCTTGCATGCACAAGGCCCTGGGATCAATCCCTAGTACCACAAAAAAAAAACTATTTTATTTTTAACTACAACTTTTGGTTATACTAAATAAAGTTCTTCCCAATACTCTCTCAATGAGTGGTATATGATTTTTCGTGAATTTCCAAAGCATTTGGTTTTAGCAGTATTTTCTTAATGAATTCTTATTTTGGAACAATTAGATTTACAAAAAAGTTGTAAATATAGTACAAAGTTCTTATTCAACCCTCATCCAGTTTTTCTCATTGATGATACATTTTTCTCATGATACATTTCCCAAAACTAATATACCAACATTGGTTCATACTATTAGTGGATTTTATTAGCATTTATGTTAATGTCCTCTTTTTTACCCCATGATTCAATCCAGAGCAGTCAAGGATTCTTAAGCCCACTTGCTTAGATTTAGTGATTTACTACAGAATTCAGCATATAGGTGTATTCATGGCTATAAATTATAATGAAAAGATATGAAGCAAAAATTATCAAAGGGAAAGTGTAGATGGATAAAGTCTGGAGGATATAGACAAATCTTCTAGGAGTCCTCCCCTATTACGGTCACACAAGATGTGCTTGCTTACTCTACCCAGCAACAAGTTATGACAACACATGTAAAATGTTGTCTATGGGGTAAACTCATTACAGAATCAATGGGGTTTTTACTGTGTACTAGTCATGAAGGCACCTACCTAACATGCCAAAATTTCCAGATTCTCAGGATGAAGGAAGGTAGGTATTCAATACAATCCCCATTGTTTATGCAAACAGTTTAGGCACAGTGAGCCATTTTTGTCTGGGAATGGTTGAAACCTTCTCAAAATGTTGTATTCCATGTATGTATAATATGTCAAAATACGCACTACTGCCATGTGTATATAAAAAGAACAACAACAAAAAGACAGAAAAAAAAAACTTTAAGTTTCTAGTTGTCAGCCAAGTAAGCCATTCTAAAGATAGAAGTTCAGGCTTGCTATGTTAATCTCTGCACACCAGGGTACTATGTGTAATTTAGTTGTCTCCCTACTCTCCCTCCTCTGACTATTTCTCAGTTTTTCCTTGTTTTTCATCACCTTGATAGTCTTGAGGAATGCTAGCTAGATATCCTGTAGACTGTCCCTGTATCTGGTTTGTCTAATGTTTTTCTCATGTTTAGATGGAGGTTATATGTTTTGGAAAGTACCTCAGAGGGGAAGTGCCCTTTTCATCACATCACACAAATCATGTTATCCACATGATATCTCATGATATTAGCTTTCAACATTTGGTAAATGTAGTATTTGTCAAGTTTCTCCACTTTAAACCCTTTATAGTCGAGATTTTTTTCCTTTCTCTACTGTGTTTTTAGGAAACAAGTCACTAAGTCCAGCCCACCCTCCAAGAGAGGGATATTCAAGGTATTCACAGTGTTTCTTTTATTGCAAATATTCCCTTCAAGTATCCTCTGAAGAATTATATCCATTGTCTTACTATTTTAAACACTCCTGGCCCAAGCAGTTTTCTTCCCCTCTAAATTGCTACAACATATATTTTGAATTATTTTTATGCTGTTCCTTTTATATGATAATAAATACTTTTCATCATTTTAACAAATCATTCATTGAACAAATGTTTATTTACTTGACATGCACAGTGCAACCCATTGAAACGGAGGAAAAACACAATGTTAAGGAAGTTCTTTCAACATATTAACATCCAAAAGTAAATTTATTTTATTGATGGTGCTGGAGATTAAACCCAGAGTCTCATGCATGCTAGCCAAGTACTATACCCCCGCCCCAAAAATAAATTAAAATCTTGAGTTTTCATTTTTGCCCCAATATTTTCTCTTTTTTCAAATGATCATTGATATAGTTGAACTAGGAGCTAGCATATTTGTTACTGTTTAGTATTCATTACTTTTGGTTGTTTATTTCCTTCTTTCTGTTCTTTTTCTGCTTTCATTGGTTTTAATTGTGCATTTTACATGATTCCGTTTTTTCTCCTTTCAGCACAGTAATTATGCTTTTTTTTCTCTTACCTTTTCTTTGGTTTCTCTTCAATTTGTAGCATATGTTTACAAATAATCCGAGTGTCTTTCAAATAACATACTATAATGCTTCACAGGCAGTTTAGAACCTATACTTATAACTTATAACTGCCAATTCCTCCTTTCCATCCCTTATCCATTGCTCACATTCATTTCACTTATCTCTAAGTTGTAATCACTGAAAATACTGTTGGTGTGTTAGCTTTCCATAATTTAACAAATACCAGAGATAATCAACTTATAAATAGAAAAGGTTTCTTTTGGCTCACAATTTTGGAGATTTTGATCCAAAATAGATTGGCCCTGTTGATTTTGGGCCTTTGATGAGGTAGTACATCCTGGTGGGAGCATGTGATTGAGTTGGAAAGTGAAAGAGAAGAAGGAGGAGAAGCTGAGGTACCATTGTCCTTTTCAGGAACATGCCCCCAATGACCTGAAAATCTCCCACTAGACCCCACTTTTCAAAGATTCCACCACCTCCCCATAGCACTACCATGGGGACTTAAGCCTTTGGGACATGGACTTTTGGGGACATCCCAGAAAACTATAGCAGTTGCTGTTATATTTTGAATAAATTGTTAACTAC